ACAATCTTATGTTTTCTATATTTCTAATATTTGAAATATTATACAGTAAAACTTAAAATAGTTTCTACATTAAATATGTCTATGAAGAAATTAAGGCTTTCCTCAATTCGTTTTTACTGACAGGAAAACACAAATAATAAAATCATTTTATCATTTTTTTGGTCACCTCTCGCTTACATTGTGTGGAAATTAATAGCAGACAACATGCTTCTCCCTATGACCTACTTTTTTCTATGTGCTTGTTTCTTTTAGGATGAGAAACCCACATTAAAGAGGCTGTCATAGCGAGGAACACAATTAGCTGAAGACTGGAGTCCACTGCTATTTTTTTTTCTTTTAAAGATTTTATTTATTCATTTGAGAGAGAGAGCACGAGCCAGGGGGAGGGGCTGTGGGAGAGGGAGAAGCAGACTCCCTGATATGGGGCTTGATCCCAGGACCCTGGGATCAACCTCCGATTGGAAGGCAGATGCTCAACCGACTGAGCCACCCAGGTGCCCCTCAGCTGAAATTTCTATACACTGATGCAAATACCCGCTTTTCTAATCTTAATTTATTCCCTCAGTTTCCAAACTTGGGTTCCTCCAGTTGAAAGTAATATTCATATAGTACCTTTCTCACTCAAAGATGTCATTTCTAGCTCAGTAAGGGTGCACGTGATATGCCCACAAATTTGCATGAATCTATACCCAGTATGTTGTACCATTTTGTGATTTCTGTAACAGAACCATTCCTAAATTTAAAAATTAATACGTACTGTCTCTGCACTAATTAAACCCTTTCTCGATATTTTGTTATCACCACAATGGCTTAAATGGCTTATAAGACCCTTTAATTAACAGGGCAGCAACCAGGCAGCTAAGGTTTGGGATGCAATTAGGGGTCAGGGGATCCGGAGAGGCTGCTGGACTCCTCTCCTGGTCCAACATGTGAATAACAATGCGCACCAGAAAGCCTTCTTGTCTCATGCTTTATGCTTTGAAGAGCTCTAAGTACCAGTTTGGGGGCACAATTAGGAATGTGTTTAATGGCATTTATTAAATGAAACATTGCCCACAAATACTAAATTAATACAAGACAGTCCTGACATCAAATTAAGAAAGTACTTTTAAAAATATGTATATGTCTTGATCCCTGTTTTCTGCTCAGTTTTTACAATCTTACAAATTCAAAGTAATTTGCCTGCTTACTTATTTCAAAGATTAACCCTGTGTGTTCAAAGGTAGATTGCCTTTCATTTTCCTTTTTCACGTTTTTCAATCCCCTCTCCGACCGATGGACAGAGCCTCAGTTAGATAGAGAACCTCTGATGTTTTGTGATTAATTCTCTAACCCAGCTGGTCATCTTGAGTCTTTTCTATGTCACTGAGAATTCACAGTATTTGGAAAAGTGTTTTAAGAGACACGCTGCTAATCTTCCAGGCTTTCATTACCATCTAATATCCTAAATCCCATGGCTTGAAGAGAAAATATCTCTAGAATATAGGTATGAAGAGCAAGAAAAATTCCTAAGGATAGGTAGTTGAGATTAGCTCAAATCTCAAAGACATGGATGACGTATAATAACCTAGACATATACTGTATGAAGAGTAGGTAATTGGTGATTTTAGGGAAATAGTAGAGAAGTTGATGGCAGTGATATCATTAACACTTACAGACCCCTTAATATATTATGTTTAGTAAATCAGCTTAGTCCTGGTACTTAATTCAGATTTATGGATTAATTCTTTCTTCTAACATTTTTAATAGCTATCAATTACACGCTAAATGATGTTATAGTTTATGCAAATATGTAGTATATATAGTAATATTATAAAATAGGCATTTGAATATGAATTTGAAAAGCTCACTAAATTATATTAATTACAGTTAAAATCTAGAAGTGATATACAAAATGATGCTAACACTATGCCTGAAATTTCTTTTGCTTTTTATCTTTTATTTAAGTTCCAATTTCTTATGTGAGTTTTAAAATTATCTTTGTGTTATAAATAGGGGCCACTGAACTCCACTTTCAATATTTATCTTTACAAGTTGGTGGAAAACACATTTAGAAAAAAATACTTTTCAAGTCCAGAGCTTCAAAGGGTGAAAAGAAAGGTTTTTGTCTTATTTCAAATATATTACAATTGTTCCACTATTCTTTAAAAGTCTTTAAAATCACCTGCTCGATGTTTCTTCCCTCAAAGTCTGAGAGAATGAACGAAACAATGTAATCTAGGTTTAAATTTGGGTTTCTCCTGTGCGTCAGATATTTATGTTTGAGCTTTCTCTTACTGACAAGCTACTTAAAGGGTCAGTGTTACTTTGAGGTTTTATCTATGAGATTCGTGTCTTTGGGGCTCATTAAGAACATTTCCAGAGATTACAATGTCAATAGCACCTAATTACTGGACTGTGAGAAAGGTCTTCTTGAGTACATACGATCTGTGGCAGTGCACTGCACACAATGGGCAGCTCAGATCCCAAATTTTATCACAGTTAAGTAGCAAACAAATTAATAATGTTACCTGGGCTCTCTGGGGATCATTACTACTGCGTAAAAACTGCTTTGAAATTTTGCAGATAGTATCATACCTCGTTTCTTATTCCATCATATTAACAAGGATATATTTCTCTCTCTCTCTCTTTTTAGCTATTTATCTCTTTTTCTACATTGCATGAGTGACTCCCTGTTGTTCTCTTTAGAATTGTTTGGATTAAAACTTGCAACATAAAAAAAGTCATTTTCAATCTGTTTAGAAAAGATGTATCACCTCATATAACATTGTTTTAAAACCATATTTTATTTTTATTTCACTGTTTTCAAAATACCTACTGCATATTTTGATACTAATGATCAATTCTTTTCTTCTACTTATGTTTGTAGAAAAATAATTACTGAAGAACCAGAGGAGAGACTGGTTCTTTTAAATCACTAGACCAGCCTACTGCTGAGGACATTATGATCCTTGTGCGGTGGGCTAAAGGGTAGCTTTGCAGGCTTTATCGGGGGGACTTGGGGAAAATATGATCAACAGCTCAGGAGGAAATAGGGGTTAGCTAGGCACATAACATATATCTCACATAATCCTCATCACGAAGCTATGAGGTGGGGTCACCATCCCCACTTTCCACAGCAGAAGAATTTGAGATGATGCCAGTAAGTAAGTGGTTGGAGCCGGGATGGGAACTGAAGTCTGTGGGCCTCCATGGCCTCTCTGCTGCGTCCCATATCTTCCCCTTGTGGTTGAGAATGGGGCGACATGTCATGCATGAGACTTGGGGCAAGTCAATATAATCGAGTGGTGACAAGCCAGGGCTCTGGGGCCACACCGTCTGGGCTTGAATCCAGCTGTGTCTCCTGTTCATGGTATAACTCTGGTAGCCTACTAACCCTCTCTGTATCCAACTGTCTTGTCCGTAGACTGGGGTTAAAGCAAGAGTGCCAACCACCTAGGGTTTTATGAGGATTAAAGCTAAAAGGTGAAAGGCATTTACAGTAGCACCCACGTCCACTAAATGTTAGCTATACATAAGTTTTAGAAGAATCTTGTAGTGTGAAAGAACAACCCAGGAACCTCTTAGGTTCTTTGATGCAACACTGAAGATCCTGTTAACAGGGAGGCTAAATATTCAGTTAGTACTTAAAATATTAATATTCTATTTACATATTCTAAAAAATGGAACTCAATACAATGATGGCTTTAAAGAGTTTGATTCGGGGTCCATCACCAGATAGGTTACCATAATCCCCCGTGCTGTAGAAAATAATAAATATTTGTCTATAAATCAGGTACATACTAACCATGAGGCTAAACGCCTCTTTAATAATATATTTGTGAATTAGTGCTTGAAAATACTAATAATGAATTAAACTATTTCCTAGGGGCCTGAAGGGGGCACTCAAGCATGTGAAGTATCTAAGAAACTTGGGGTGACTTGTTTCATGAAGATGATTTGGTCCTTTGAATGTCTAGGGTGTATCCTATCCAGTAGCCATAACCTGTGTGCTAATGAGATTCACTTACTCCCTGAATTAGCAAATGTTGATTCACGTATTCATTTCTATTCATTAGAAATAGAAAATTTATTTCTAGTAAATTTTGGATTAACTGGAATCCACTTAACCAGAAACTTTGTTCACTGGATTATTTCCCCCACACTATCTTCATAGGGAACAACATGGCATGTCCAAGTTGTACCAGAGTATTAGTAAAAGAAATTTCACGGTTTTGCCCAGAGGCACTGGGTGTGACCATTGTCACATACATCTTCTCTGCGATGCAGGTTAACATTTAGAGTGATAGGGCTTTGTGGCGGACTGCAAGGTTCTAGATCATGAAAAAGTACTTACATTTGATTTTATTTAGTAAGGGAAAGGAGGGACTTATGAACTGTAGGAGGATTTTCAGTAGACAGAGTAGAAATAACTATCTTTTGCATTTTCAGTGCTGAGGAAAGAGAGTGATGCTTGTTTCTGCTGGGGCTGCCTTTTCTTTCAGGTGGCCATCAAGTTTCATTTGTACTACTTCAAATGGACCTTTGAGAAATGGTTTGCCTGGCTGTGGAAAATCAATTCTGGATGCAAAATCCTCCACTGAATCTTTTGGGGTATGGAATGTTGCTGTTAATTAAACCCTCTCATTTAAATGTCAGGCCAACCACAGGTTCCAAATTTAACCATCTAGATTTCGATGACAAATCATGAGAGTCTCTTCTCCTAATACATTACGGTGTTGCAGAAAAAGTTTCTCTGTTGCATGGAAGCCCAGAAGAAAGGTTTCTCTCTGCTAAAGCAGTCTAGTCTTTCAATTAGCAGCAACCAATATTCAGAAATGCATATTAGCATTCTTTGATTCAGCATATCTATGTATTAGTTTTATGAACTGGCTGAAGAAACCCCACGCATTCATCCAGAATTCCAAATGCCTTCGGATAACAAAAAGAAGGAGATGTCAATCTAGACTAAGTACCCATTCTGTGTGTGAACCATTTTTTCCAACAATAAAGATTCTTACCTTTTGATAAAGGGGAGAAAAATATCTGATCACTGACTACATCCATGTCCTTGTCGATCTGCAGGTAAAGCAAAAAGTTTCATTACTGAGGTTGAAGAATAGCAACCAACTGAATGTTTAATAGAAAAAAAAATCTACCTACCAAAGGTGTGTGATCACTTCCAGAAGATGTAGAACCTGCTATCAAGTTCATTTTAGACTGCACAAATAAAGGTTTTAATTTCTGAAAGACACAAAAGGAATGTACTGTGTTATCAAGGGGAAGTAGTTATCAAATCAAATGGATATAGGAGGTTCTTCGGTTCTTTTTTTTTTTTTTTAAAGATTTTATTCATTTGACGCAGAGAGAGAGAGAGAGCAAGAGCACAAGCAGGGGGAGAGGCAAAGGGAGAGGGAGAAGCAGGCTCCCCACTGAGCAGGGAGCCCGATGCGGGACTCGATCCCAGGTCCCCGGGATCATGACCTGAGCCGAAGGCAGACGTTCAACTGACTGAGCCACCCAGGCGCCCCTGAGGTTCTTTGGTTCTTAATTAACCAAGATGTGAAAACTAAGCTCCTGATTTATTTGTTTAAATATGGCTGGGGAAATCCTTTCCTTGAAACCCATGGAATAGACAGACCCTTTTCTTATTTGGGCTACTCTGAGAAAAAATTCAAGAAAAATGTTTTCTTCAATGGCTGTTCTGACTCTACCTTTTTCTTCTCTTCTCTTTTCTTTTCTTTCCTTTCCTTTTCTCTCCTCTCCTTTTAAGTACAGTTGACACACAGTGTTACATTCGTTTCATGTGTATAATTTAGTGATCTGACCAGTTTGCACGGTATGCTACGCTCACCCTAAGTACAACTACCCTCATTCCCCTGACTCTTCTTCCTTTTGATAATCTCCACCCCATTGGGGTTTACAACGTGTCACTGGCCAGGTATCACGGGGTTTGTCCAGCACCTCCTCGCTCTGGGAGACTATGGCAGTAGGGGTCCTTGTTCCCAGAAACTGAATGGTGAAAGCCCAGAAGCTTCTCTTCTAGGAGTTCAGGAGCCCCAGCATGCAAGCAGAATTGTCCCTAGCATTACTGATTGCCAAGTAAATGACAACAATAAACATGTGCGGGTAAAAAGGACCAAAGGGACACTAAGCGTGTTTATCAGAAAGAGGCCTGAGGTCCAAGGATGTACCCTGGTGATGTAGGTGAAGTTTTCCCTCTTCAAGGCTTCTCTCTTGTTGATTTGTATGTGTGTATTTTTCTATTCTCTATAGCCCCGCCCACTCTCTTTTTGTTCCCACCCCAAGGAAACGGTTTAAATATTTTAGGCGTATCTTTACTTTGGATATGTTCTTGCAAAAATACGTACTGTTGTGCATGCCTTTTAATTTACGCTAGTGGTGTTATGTGCTATCCTATTTTGTTGATTCTCTAAGGCATAGCCTTCTGGTATTTTAACATCCCCAAAGTTGGGATGCATCTTGCAATAGATGGAGTCTCACAGTATAATTGGCAGCACTTCTCTCTTTTAGAGACTTAGAAAGTCTTAGGACACCTTATGTGTTCCCACTTCTCTTGCTAAGTACTAAGTACTTTCACTAAGTACTATGTTTTTAAGATCCATCCATTCTGCTATGTATGCCTAAAACCCAGTACTGTCCAGTACATAGCACTGCAGCCTAAAACC